AGCAACCTCCAACTCCTGGGCTCAAGCGAGTCTCCTGCCTCCGCCTCCCAAGTAGCTGGGACTACAGGTGCCCGCCACAACGCCTGGCCATTTTTTTTTTGGTTGCAGCCATCATTGCTGTTTGGCGGGCCCGGGCTGGGGATTCGAACCCGCCACCTTAGGTGTATGTGCCTGGCGCCTTAGCCGCTTGAGCCACAGGCGCCAAGCCCCTCTTTTTTTCTTAAAAAGAGTTCCTTAAGTTGAATAGATTTCAGGCTCTAGAACCTCCAAATCCACATCTTGTATATTTTATTTCATAAGCTGGATTGTGAGTTTTCTCTGTATGATTATCTGTGTTCTTTGGTTAGTCCCAAATAGAAAATAGCAAAATTTTTTCTTTAAAACGAATTCCATTTCCTTCTGTGTGAAAACAGTAAAATATTTTTAAGTTGTCTAAGAGGCATTTGTTTTCTCTGTCTGTCCTCATCTGTCCTCATAGGCTGGATGCCTATGACTTCACTGATCCCCATGGGCACTTGGCTTGGTAGAAGCTTTGCACAACTTTGCCCCTCTCTCCTGGGCCCCTCACCACAATGCAGGTCTAAGACCTGGGCTTATTGGTCCACTTTTATTTTTGAAAATTTCCCTGACATTTGGGTGGTGCCTGTGGCTCAGTGAGTAGGGCACTGGCCCCATATACCGAGGGTGGCAGATTCAAACCCGGCCCCGGCCAAACTACAACAAAAAATACCTGAGGGTTGTGGTGGGCGCCTGTAGTCCCAGCTACTCGGGAGGCTGAGGCAAGAGAATTGCCTAGGCCCAGGAGCTGGAGGTTGCTGAGAGCTGTGACTCCACAGCACTTTACCGAGGGCAATAAAGTGAGACTCTGTCTCTAAATAAAGAAAAGAAAAGAAAAGAAAACTTCCCCAACATTCAATTGCAAAATAACTAGCTTCTTTTCTACTTTTCATCCCATGTCAGTCTCTGGTGCCTTGTATGTTCTTTTTCTGATTATCCTCTGTAGGAGCAACTCACAGTCCACTTCTATTGGAACCTAAATCTTGCAGTACTTACAAAGCTGCAGATAATCAAATTAGAGTATCTTAGAATTTGCAGAGAGAGATTACTGTAAACTCAGCCATCTTCACCACTGTTCTTTGCATATCTGCTTTGTGCAAACCTTGGTTTTCGTTTCTGGGAGAACACAAACACCCAGGCTCTTTTTCTGGCCCACATGGTGGAGGTAAGAATTTGCCTAACTAAGCATAAGTCGAATCTTTCAGACTGCCTTACCAGAAAGGTTTTGTGGAACTAAAAGAATGGATGATTGATTAGGACAGGTGAAAGCTTCAGGGAGGAGATATATTTAAGTTGGACCTGAAAGATAATCAAAGATTTCTTTCTTTTTTTTTTTTTGAGACAGTCTCACTCTGTCATAGCATCACAGCTCACAGCAACCTCAAACTCTTGGGCTTAAGCGATTCTCTTGCCTCAGCCTCCCAAGTAGCTGGGACTTAAGGCCCCCACCACAACACTCAGCTATTTTTTTTTGTTGTTGTTTTAGCAGGCCTGGGATGGGTTCGAACCTGCCAGCCTCCGCGTGTG